CAGGAGCTACACTGGGGTCTCTGGGCAGACAGGTGGGAGCCCCTAAGAACTTGATCTGTGGTGTGTGGTTGTCTGGACTATGCTTGATCCTAAACACCAGGATTTGAAATCTATTCCCATCAGTTAGAGATGTCTATGGGTAAACTCTGTCTTTAAACAGAATTTTATTCCTTGCGGTTAGTTACTTGCTTTTTGATCCTCAAATAATATCTCCATATTCATTCATTTATTCATTCACTTATTTATTCAACAAATATTTATGGATACAAGGAAGTAGGGGAAAAAATCAGGAGGCCAGTGAAAGTGTTTCTTGAGACACTTTATGGCTCCCACTTTTTATACAGGAAACACTCAAAGAAAGTCTCTGAAAAATGAATGTATCCCCCTCCTCCACAAATACACATATGTAAGTATGTTTAAGTGGAAAACCAAGCTAAGTCAGTTAGTTTGTATGCTGCTGGACTGTCATTAGTGAGGCAAGTTGAAGCTGATTGACCCATTTAATAGAAAAGAAAAAATTCAGATGGAAAGATCTACAAAAAGCAAGTGATCTAGATCTAGATACATATATAAATAACTGTATGACTTGTGTTTGAAAGAAACTTTGTTGACATCTTTCTTCATCACAAAAGGCATTTGAAGCAGGTTTATTCATACTTGTTTTTCTTAACATCTAGGCAATTAACATTGTGGGGAGTGTTCTCCTATTAAGCAGGAAATTAATGTCTGTCCGAGCGATCTTACTTAGCCAGGAGTCTGGACACATTTCATCAGTTTTGCCAGAGCTCCATTCTCTTAAACTTGGCTCCAGGAGACCCCTTTCCCCACATCCATGCTGACCGGGAGCACAGGATGTCCTCTCCCCCTCTGGCCTGTCTTCTTCCTCCACCTGGCCTGGAGGGAGGAAGCCTCGCCTCTAAACCTGAGTGTGCTGGAGAACTGGTCCAGGGACCTGCCCCGGGCTGGACGTTAACAGGGCCTCGCCGGACTGCTGGACTTGAGCCTGAATATCCCCAAGGCCTGTCCTATACACTCATAGCATAACTGTGCTGGTTATGAATAACAAAGTCACATTAAGAAGGGGGTTGCCATTAAGGGCCTGGATAGTGCAACAGGGAAATGAATGCTTGTAGCACTGGACCCAGGTTTTTTTTCCCTCACACAAGGGAGCATTTATTATTTAAAGTAAGTTATAATTGATGGTACGCATGCTTTCGTCCCTCAATTCTGTCCCTATTAGTCATTTCATTCTGCTGCTGTTCGGAGATCGAGAACCACATTAAATTTAACATGTTGGTTACTTTCAGTGACAAATCAAATTTTAAAAATTAAGCTTGCATGCCATCAGTAAAATCCAGAATGACAAAAGTAATAGACAAATGATCCAGTTTCTTCCACAAGTAAACTGTGAGCGAAAAAAAAAGAGAAAGAGAAATTAAGATACTTAAAATATGTATCAACAAATATGCCGGCCTTACTTGGATCCTGATTTAAACATTTTTTTAAAAATATAGTCATTTATGAGACAATTGGAAATTTGAACCCCTTCTGGACATTTTATGATAAGGAATTATTCATTTTTTCAGATAATGATATGATTATGTAGTTTAAAGAATTCTTCTATTTAGGGATTTATACTAAAATATTTGCACATGAAATGATATATTTGGGGTTTGTTTCAAAATAATATGAAGGAAGGGGTGTGTGTGTGTGTGTGTTTGTATGTGTTGACGTGGGGGCAGGGTTTAGGACAAGAATTGCCAGGAGTTGATAATTGTTGAAGCTGGATAATAGGTACATGAGATCTCATTAAACCACCTGTTTTTTAAAAGCTTACTTTGAATCTGATCCAAATGGTTTCATTAGCCAATAGCCTGTTATAAGAGAGAAGACAGTAAATTAATTGACAGTGTGCAATTTATATTACATTTATATGTATATGTATATGTAATTTGTATTACATTTATATATATAAGGACAACACAATATAGCAGGTGGTACTTTACCCATGAGCTGGGCCTCTGTGCATTTAACTGACTTGGTCAAGGTCACGTGGGTACTTATGCATTGCAGAGTCAAGTTTCAAACCCGAGGCCAGCTGGGTTCTTTCCACTACACATCTCCCCAGTATGATAATACTCTGCCACAATATTTAACATCAAAGAATTTCTTGGTTCTTTCACAAATAATTATTTTTTTCAAAATAGCCACTGATACACTTATTTTCAGCTGAGTTTTTGGTCCCTTTAATCTTGTGTGAAAAAGATGACTATTGTTTCAAAATATGACCATTTCCTCTTCTTGACCAAATTTGATAGAACTTTCTTTTGTTCGCTGCATCCCTTTCTGGTGTGCCAGGCACTGTCCTAGGCACTTGGGAGAGAGGCATCAGCAAACAGAACAGAAGAAGATCCCCGCCCTCATGGAGCTTGTATTGGTAGCAGCAGGGGAGAAGGGGTCAGATCGTAAGTAATACACACAGTAAAAAAGTAAATTATACGGTTAAGTGCTTACTACAGGGAAAAAAGAAAGGTAGACTAGGGTAAGACGGACTGGGAATGGGAGTGGTGGACAGGGGAGGCTTGCATTTTAAAGTAGGATGGTCACACTAATGAACTCATCTACCAAACAGACTCGCAGATATAGTAAACAATCTTATGGTTACTGGGGGAAAAGGGGTGGGAAGGGATAAATTTGGAAGTTTGAGATCTGCAAATGTTAACTGCTATACATATAAATAGATAAAAAAAAACAAATTTCTTCTGTATAATGCAGGAAACTATATTCACTATCTTGTAATAACCTTTTATGAAAATGAATATATGTATATATATGCATGACTGGAATATTATGCCGTACCCCAGGAACTGATACATTGTAACTGGCTATACTTCAATTAAAAACAGAAGAGGATGGTCAGGTGGGCTTCACTGAGAAGATGCTCTGTGAACAGGAGACAGGGCCTGAGCCCTAGGTCTGTCTGAGGGGAGGAACATTCTAGCAAAGGGAACAACCAGCTTTTATAAAGAGATAAGCTCTCCAAAATTCATGTTAGCCATAGAAATCTTCAGAATTCAATTAATTTTATCAAACAGTGTGCAGATAACTGAAAGTCAACCAATTTGTTAGGATGTAGGCCCAGTTTACAGACTATTGAATATTTTTCTGTCCCTTTGAATATTTAGAAATTAGGGATTTCTGGCTTTTGTGGACTTAAAACTCATAGAGGTTAGCTTAGAGTTTGGTTCAAAATTAAAGGTAGCCCTTTTTTTCATGCTTCTCTCTCTTGTAATGCAAATTATTGCTACGTTACTGCCCTCACTGAGGCCTGGCTGGTGGCTTGGGGACCTACCTGCTCCTGCTTCTGCTGGCAGTTACTTAAGAAGGTAACTTAATTGTTCTTAAAACAAAAGTATCCACCTGAGGATGAGTATTCTTAGTTGAGGATCATTGGCTTCTGACAGTTGCTGTAAATATCACTGCTCTAAGGTAGATAAAGGAGGTGGGTTACTTCCAAGCACTTATTTTAGAAACTGAACCAAAACCCTTCTGCAGCTCCGTGCTGGCAGCTCAAGGGGATGAGCAGTTTAGGGTGAGAGGCAGCATGGGCAGTGGAAGAGGACCAGACTCTGTAGTTGGGTCTGAATTCCAACCTCGAGTCTCCAGTTACCTGCTGCAGGGTCTTAAGAAAGTTTCTTACTCTCCATGAGGCTCAAGACCCCCTTTTATATAATGTGGGTGTATAACCACAGGTAGCTTTTGGGTTGTTGTGAAAACTAAATCAGATAAAGCCCGTAAAGCAACTGGCACGCCATCGCCACTAAATTAGTGGTCATTGTTATTATATTTGTATGTATGACAGCTCTGCTCTCCTTCCAAATTCAAGAAATTCCAAAACTATTAAATGATGCTGAACTGGAGAGGCCTCTCGGCTTTGCCGGGTGCTATGAGTCAGTCTCTTTTATACAATGAAGCTGCTCTTCGAGTGTCGGGAGGTCTTAAGCATTAGAACTATATGGGCCCCATGATTGTCTTATAGAAGTGGGGCTGTGGTTTCCCTCTGCCCGTACCTGCAAGTTGAGAACCCAACTCAACCTGTTGACCAGCATTTCATTTCATTTTATTTCATTTCATTTCATATTTATTTTATTTTTAAATAAACCGCTTTTTAGAGCAGTTTTAGGTTCACAAAGTCGAGCAGAAAGCACAGGCTGTTCCCAACACCCCCGCCCCAACACACACAACCTCCCCTACCAGCATTTTAATTTTGTCCACGTCAGTCACAGACTGTTCCTATTTTCTAAGAAAGATGCAATTAAAAATTGGAGATGCAAATAAGTATTACGTGGTTTTGACATCTAGGAGCTACATATATTGATGGGTGGGTGCGTTTGAATTCCTTTCACTCTTCCAATTAATTTGGGAACACACTGGCCTGTTCCTGAGGTTTCTACAAACTGCCTGGCGTCACTCTTCATCCCCTGGCACGTAAAGGCTTTCCAGTGTGTTGAGTTCAGTTAGCGCTGACAGAGCCCTCAGAGTCATTCATTCTTTCAATAAATCACTAAGCACACACTGCGTGCTCTGGGCGGTGCCTGGCATACAAGGGGCGGAAATACAGACACAGTCCTGCCCTTGCGGAGTCTATGGTCTGATGTGAGAATGCAGGCTTGTTTATTATGGGCTTACCCTACGCTGAAAAGCCTGCTGGGGGAAATGATGGGCTAGAAACGCCTTGTGGATGATCATCTTGATACTTACCTCCTGAGCTCCTTTTTGCACTCATTATTATTTCTTTGTTTAAAAGAAAAGTTACAGAACCCAAGTGTCCATCCACAGATGGATGGATAAACAAAATGTCATGTGTGTGTGTGTGTGTGTGTGTGTGTGTGTGTGTATGGACTGTTATTCAGCCTTGAAAAGGAAGGACATTCTTATTTGTGCTACAACATGGATGAACCTAGAGGATATTATGCTAAGTGAAACAAACGAATCACAAAAAGACAAGTACTATTTCCATTATTTGAGGTACTTAGATTTATAGACTCAAAAGGAAGAATGGTGGTTCTCAGCAACTAGAAGGAATGGAGTGTTGTTTAATGGATATAAAGTTTCAGTTTTGCAAGATGAAAAGAGTTTGGAGATTGGTTGCACAACAATGTGAATGTACTTGACACTACTGAACCCTTAAAAAAGGGTTACAATGATACAAAAATAAACTAAAAAAAAGGGTTACAGTGATAAATTATGTTATATATATTTGACCACAATTTTAAAAATAATACTATATAGCACCATAAGAAATGTATCGGCGAGCTGATATTAAGTGTAAAAAGCAGAATAAAAAATTATTAATAGAGTTTAATAAGAACGAGTCGAAATCTATGTAAGTGAAAATTAATATGAAAAATCAAATGCTTAATGTGCTTATATAAATACGGCAGGATCATGGGTATTTTTTCCATTGTTAAATGAAAAGTACGTATTAAAAATGACAGTTACCGAGACGAATGCAGTGAAGTGCAGATGACCTTTGGATGCTGCGCGCGGGGGATACGGCCTCTGACGTGGCGCTGTGTGCTTCCTCCCCTCTTCCCCGGCGCAGGCTTCGGCAGCGGGATGGCCTACCTGCCGGCCGTGGTCATGGTGGGGAGGTACTTCCAGAAGAGGCGCGCGCTGGCCCAGGGCCTCAGCACCACCGGGACCGGGTTCGGCACGTTCCTCATGACGGTGCTGCTGAAGTACCTGTGCGCGGAGTACGGCTGGCGGAACGCCATGTTCATCCAAGGCGCCGTCTCCCTGAACCTGTGTGTCTGCGGCGCGCTCATGCGGCCCCTCTCTCCTGGGCTGGACGGAGAGGACCCGGGAGGGAAAGAGCCGCACGTCCTCCGGGCTCACTCCACGGAATCGGTCGGGTCCAGCGGGCAGATGGGCGGAGCGCAAGAGAAGGGTGGCGGCCCGGGCACCGAGGACGCCGTCGGGGACGCGGCAGCGCAGGCGCGCCCGGGGACGGCGGCGCTCGGAAAGGACATGTGCACCCTGCGGGTCCTGAAGGCGGTGAGCCAGCTGACCGTGAGGGTCCGCAGGGGCTTCCGGGACTGGTACTCCGGCTACTTCGGGGCCGCTTCGCTCTTTACTAATCGGATGTTCGTCGCCTTCATTTTCTGGGCTCTGTTTGCCTACAGCAGCTTTGTCATCCCTTTCATTCACCTCCCCGAAATAGTCAACTTGTATAATTTATCGGAGCAAAACGATGTTTTCCCTCTGACTTCGATTATAGCAATAGTCCATATCTTTGGGAAAGTGATCCTGGGCGTTGTGGCCGACCTGCCGTGCATCAGCGTCTGGAATGTCTTCCTGATGGCCAACTTCACCCTGGTCCTCAGTATTTTCATTCTGCCCCTGATGCACACGTACGCTGGCCTGGCGGTCATCTGCGCCCTGATAGGGTTTTCCAGCGGTTACTTCTCCCTGATGCCCGTGGTGACTGAAGACTTGGTGGGGATTGAGCACCTGGCCAACGCCTACGGCATCATCATCTGTGCTAACGGCATCTCCGCCTTGCTGGGACCGCCTTTTGCAGGTAAATCGTTCAAAGTTTTAAGAGCTGAGAATTTGTGTGGAAAGGTTGCGTTGTCATTTATAAGTCCGAGATGAACAAGAGGGAAGTTTCCGTTTGTGTACTTGCTCCTTTTTCCCTCCCATTCCTGCCTCCGGTTTCTCATGTGTAAATTTTAGCAAGTTAAAGGTCATTCCTTCATGTAGAAAGTAGATGAACTTTTGATCCATAACCTGCGACTTAAAAGGGCCAGGCTGGTGAAGTGGACGGTAGAGTAGTGTGGCGCCCCTGCCCCTTCTGGAGGAGGCAGCCTCTGCCCAGCTCCATCCGATTTTGATCACCAGGGAATGTGGAAAATCATTACCAGCTCTTCTGTTGTCTGTTGCCCCCGAAGAAGCTGGGACTCTGCACTCTTAGGTGACATTTCCAGATTTTCAAAGCACTGTGTCCGACAGATGAATTCTGTGGTTTGGATCTAGCCCTGTAGTAGTTTCCTCCTGGTGTGCAATAAATTGCTGCAAGCTTAGTGGTTTAAAACAATACAAATTTATTGTCTTACAGTTCTAGGGGTCAGAAGGCTAAACTGGATCACAGTGGGCCAATACCAAGGTGCCAGTGGAACTGCATTCCTTCCGGAGGCTCTCAGGGGGACTCCATCTCCTCACCTCTTACAGCTTCTGGAGGCTGCCTACTTTTTTTGGCTCCTAGCCTCTCCCTCAATCTAAGCCAACAGCATAGCATCTTTTCATCTCTCTTGATTCTGACTCTCCTGCCTCCTTTTTTCATTCTTAAAGATACCTATGATGACACTGGGTCCACCAGCTAATCCAGGATAGTCCCCCATGTCAAAGTCCTTAGCTTGAACACACTGCAAGGAAGGTCCCTGTTGCCACATAAGGTCATCTGCACAGGTTCCAGGGATTAGGATGTGTGTATTCGGGAAAGCTCAGACATTCCACCTGCCTCAGGCCCAGAGGGCCCCGGTTGGCAACATGATCTGTCACGTATGTTCACCTCAGTTTAATGGAGAATTGGCTTCTTGCATTGAGCATACCAGAAGCCATAGGCACCACTGAGGGGACCTGTGTCTGGGCCAGTTACCTCTCTGACCTTGCCATTCTGGGCAGGTTTTAAACTTTGTGACGGGTAGACCCAATCCCCAAGAGGCCAGTGTTGGGCAAAAGTGATCAAGTCTACCCGCTATCCATGGGTTGGAGGCAGGAGCCCACGAAGTGTGGTAGGGGCCAGGGCCAAATGCAAAGGAGAGGTGTTTTTTGGAGGTGACTATTAGGGCAGCCAGGCCAGGGCTGGTGGCAGTTGTCAGAACTGCTGGAAGTTTCGTGCAGTGTTTAAGCTAACCTGGGAGAGCATCACCTTTTCAGATTCCTCCTCCACCTCCGTGCTGCTTGTCTGGCTGATCCTGGCCCTTTATTCTCATACCCTCTGCAGAAATATTTCTTCCCATGCATGTGAGGAACACCATGGGTGCAGGACAAAGCCTTCCCCACCCCTTTCTTCCCAGTCTCTCCACGGACCCTACAGTCATCTCCTGCCCTACTGGCAGAGGACTTGTACCAACACAGCCATTTTTGTATTGCCCTCAGAATGTGAAGCTCAAGAAAACAGATTTTTACCTACACAGCTGACAACACTGGCAGCTGGCTGACTAAAGGTTTAAGGACCAAGAATTGCTTAAGGAAACCTAGAGGCTACAGACAGACCCCCTCCTGGATCAAGCTGCTCCTGTTTTCTGCCCATACACAGAGATACAGGCACAGCATTTCTCGGTGACAGGGAATAATGATAGCAGTGCAGCAGACTAATATTGGCAGCTGAAAAGTCAGAACTGCTCAGTGATCTCACTGTATAGAATTCTCTATCAGTTGGGGATGCATTTGGTTGTAAGAGAACATCCTCCAATGGAGTGTGTCACATAACCAGAAATCTAGAGTTCAGGGACTAGATGATGATGGGACAGTGTCTCAAGATGCTCTGGGCCTTTTCCACAGGTTAGTTGCCTCATGGTCACACAAATGGCTGCAGTAGCTCCAGCCACTAACACATCCTCATTTATAACAAGAAAGGAAGGGATGAAGCCTTAGTCCTAGCAGAATTCCACTTATATCTGATTGGCCAGCTTCACACAGCTAGTCCAAGCTTCAAGGGAAACTGAGAATTGGAGAATTTTGCTTTCCAGTGTCTGTACTAGAGGAAGGAAAGGAGAAGAGAATTAGGATTGGAGTTTGGATCAGTCAACCATGGCAACTTTCAGAGAAGTTAAACTAAAATATCCATTAAGGGGATGGGAATATTATCAGTGGCTCATCCACCCTCTTGTTGGACGCCTTTTAGATATGTTGTATGTAGAAATGAAATCTCTCTTTGAGGGGTACTTTCTGCTTCTAATGCTCAGTGGGGTTATTTTATATGGATCCATCAGATTTCAGCAGCAGCATCACAACACAGCTATGTGGTGCAGCAGAAGTAATTCATGATCCATGTTAATTAAAGCACCAAGGTTTGCCAGCATAGTTTCCTTAACCCATTCTTTTACACACATTTGCATTCTAGTACACTTTCTTGAGTGGAAGAGGAAGGAATTACAACTAGAGGACAAGGAGTTAGATCCAACCCTGAGTCATCATGTCTTATCTTTGCTCGCTTCAGGGGTCCTCCCTGGAAGTGGATTCTGTGGCTGAGTGTAGCTCCATCCACCATGAGTGGTAGAAACCATTGTATTAATGGTGATTTACAAACCTACCGTGAATGTGTGTCAAGTGCTGCCAGGGGACTCTAAAATCAATGTTCCGACGTACGTCTCCAGGCCAGCCATCTAAAAGGGCCTCTCCATTTTTGCTTGTTTCTTCTCCTTCCACTGAACTCATATCCCGAGGAATGCCAATCAGCATGACCAGCTGAGTTCTGTTTAATTCATTGACTTTCCAGGCCAAGGAGCCAACATTGCAGTGACATGCAAGGCCAGCCTTTTTGCATCATTTTACAGAGTGATTGGCAATATGAGTGACTAAATAACCACATTAAATTCTTGCTAGAAATTCCAGGTGGTCTAGAAATTATTACTTGGCTTGATTTGCTACCGGGAAGATTACTGCTCACATTAGCTTTTTCTTTTTTAATGGATTTAGGAATGAATATATTTTCTATTTTTCAAAGCGGTTTCTACTGACATTAAAAAATCTGGTACAATTTAGTAGCATGTTAGACAATCACACATTTCCATTTAGAAGAAGAATGTGCAATCAGCAATATTGAACAGACATTTCAACCATGTCATTTAGCAACATGAACTTCTTGATGTAATTCATTTATAACGTTTCTGGGCATTCGGCTCATCTCTTTTAAAGATGTAATAATAGTAGATACTTTTCTAGATGTTTCTGGGGTAAAGCAAAACTCGGCCACCAGATTTGACTGACCAAGAATCTACATGCATCTCCAGCATCAAATATAACACCCGAACAACAATTTGTAATGTTTTTTCACCAAGACCCGGGAACACGTATTTAATAAATAAGAAGAATAGCCATCACTTCTCATTTGACAGATTCAAATGAAAAGGAGTGCAATTTATTTAAATGGAGGTACTGGGTATTGAACTCAGGACCCGATGCATTCTAAGCATGCACTCTGCCACTGAGCTATTACCCTCCCCTGCCCCTGGAATACAGTTTAATAGGGAACCAGATTTTACTTTGAAACTGTTGATTTCAATTGATAGTTGGATCAGGATTGCCCAGGATCCCAGGCTCCAAACCAAGGGATGAAGATCAGACCTGTAGGGAGACATGGTGAAGGATGAATGAGGAGGGCAGCTTGTCTGAAACACCTTATTTCTAAAGAGTCATGTCCCCACGTGCTGGGTCAGAACACAAGGCAAAGTACTGTCTCCTAACCTGATCTGCATCTGACTCGGGACTGGGTTGAGTTCAAACTAGCAGAGATGGCAGGATCTGGAGACATTTCAGAATAAATCCTAATGGTAGAATGGAGAAACCTATGGGATTAATTTAACACAAAATTTAGGACTGTGCCTCCAATTTGTACTGTTACATTGTTTGGTACAGTTGGGTGCACTTTTGAAACATTGACATATGAGTTACTTTCAAAAACTGGAGTGTGAGAAGATGCTTTTACAAACGTTTATACGTTTAGGAAAAAGATGCAAATTTAAGGCTGTAATAGTGTGTAACACACTTAGCACACGTTTTCTGTAGCCTGCAGAGACAAGAGGATGGAGTGGAGGGAAGGAGATGTTAGGGTGTTCTAAGGGAGGTGGTGGTTATTACTGTCCTCCCAGAAGGGGGACCAGTACATGGACAGACAAGAAGCCAAGACAGATGTGTCTGAAACTCAGTATGGCTTGTGCTTGTGGTTAAGCTTGGGACAACAAGGGGGAGAGGTGGGTAGGGACCACATCACAGAGCCCTGGAGCTTGTGCTCAATGGCTTCAAACAAACAAGTAAGTAGTCTGAACTGAATACAAATTAATTTTCCAGTGAGGATATTGTTTTATTGCTGAGGTCCGTGTTAAGTGGTGATGGTAGGTCAGCTTGTTTCAGCTGTTGGATTTGGCCACGTAGAGCACCATTTTCTACTCTCAATCACTTGATCATGCGACAAGTGAGGATTTAACTATCAAAATGACAAGATCAGCTTTCATATGGGATGAGTGGAGTATGAGAACCTCATTTATATGTATTGATTTTTTAAAAATTGTAGCTTAAAATAGTCCCATCATGTACTCTGCTTATAGAGCCTCTCCACTCGGCATTACCTGCAAGTGAATTGTTCACTTCATACTAATTCACAGTGGTCCACGATTGACAAATGGTGGCACCGAGGAAGACTGGAATATGTTTTTGATCATATGTCAGTGTGTCTTTCTGATTTAATTCTGAAGCTGAACCACAGTTTCTGGATGATATGTTTAATCTTATTTGTCCCTCTTGTCTCAGATTGGAGATTAAGAAGAGATGCTAAAACATTTACTAAGCCACATCTAAAGCCTCATATTTTCTTCCTTTATATATCAGTTAACAAACCCAGCATAGCCAGAATTCGTAGCTTTTGAGTGGTTAAAATATATATATATATATATATATTTTTTTTTTTTTAATGCTGTTAAGTGTTCGTTTTTCTTTATGATGGCCTTGACTCATCCAGCCACATTAATTATGCACTAGATACAATAAACAAGAGACACAGATAACCCTCAGGAAATCAGAGGTACTAGTTTACACAATTAGCAGTTGCTTTTGTGCAGCTGTCTGTTGGTGGGAGAAGGTAAAGTTGCATTTATGCATTCATTCATTTGCCAGTTAGATATGCTTTAAAAGATGTTTTTTAAAAGTGGCCATGGAATACTATGTTTGGTCATTAAATCATTTATATTTTTCTTATGCCTTTGCTAATTAATGCACTTGTTGAAATGGAAAAAGTGAATGTTTACATTTACATTTTTTCCATAGATAAAATTCTGTGTGTAGCTTAATCCTCTCAGTTAGCATAGTTGGCTACATGGGGACCGTGACATGTGACTGGTTCTTGGAATTAATCCCTGAAGTAAAAGAAATATCGTATTTCATAGTTTCTGAGACTTTTTTTTTCTTCACATTTTAACATCTCGGAAATCAGAATGCCTTTTACAAAGTCCTAGGAAAACACTGAGTCACATTTTTATTGACAAAAATATTTCTTTCTTATTGGTACATAATAATGATGCATCGTGTAAGTCATGGTATCTTAGAATGCATGAAATATGGTAGTATTTTCGAGTACCGCGTAAGATCATTATATGAAAGTATTAGATTATAATACTGAAGTATTTTTTGAAAAGAATGGCTAGGTTAGTCAGCATTTAAGGCTATATCTTCAGCAATTTACAGTTTCATAAATTTAAACATATATTAAAGTTTTATAGCTCTACGTGTGAATTTTATAAAGCCTGGAAATTTTTATTCTTTCTATATCAGATGTTTGCCCTCAAATACTTCAGAATGAATGGAAGTTCAAATAAATGTCTTTTGCTTAGTTTCTTTTGATACACCCCAAAAACTTCTTCAGAAGCATTTTGAGGTTTTAGGAAAGATATGTGTTTATATTTGTGTAAAAAAAAAATCATCAGATTCACTTTTCACAGCTGGCTTTGTACTGGCCTGAGAGTTACCCCAAAGGCCGTGAGCCAGAAGACTCTCTCATCAGCTGGCCAGCTACTGTTTCAGTGCCTTAAAAAGTACCCCAGGGGCTTAAAAGATAAATGCAGACACCCCAGGCAGTGAGAACTCTAGTTCCGACAGCACAGACTTAAGAATGGCTAAATGAAACTTTTGGGGCCTCAAATGACATATCATACATCCTTACAAAATTATTTATAATAGCAATAAATGCTTGCTTTGTGTTCTTGACTGTTTTTTCAACTTCGGTACACTGAATATATTCCTTTTTGTTTTGTAGGGTGGATCTACGACATCACACAAAAATATGATTTTTCCTTCTATATATGCGGTTTACTTTACATGGTAGGAATCCTCTTTCTACTTGTTCAACCATGTATTCAAATTATAGAGCAATCCAGAAAAAAATACATGGATGGTGCAAATGTTTAGTGTCACACTGTGTTCCATGTTAGATTTCTCTGTCATACTCATGCCTACCTCACATGACTGCTGTGAGGAGCCTGGGACCCATCATGGGAAGGTTACAGTTGTCCGGTAACTGGCACTGTCATTTGTGAATGCCACTGTCCTGGCTTCGTTTGAGAGCAGTATTGCCTTTCCGTGTGGGGAGAGGCAATGCTGGCAGGTGTTAAAGACCACATACATCTCAGAGAGAACAGTGTCCTTCAAAGTCCGTCTATTAAATCACTGGGAAAAATGCCCTTATAAAAACTGTCCTCTCTCGCCAGCCACTAAGACTAGGGTTTTAGATATAGCGTTTAAAACAAAGACAAAGAATGGAAGCTTTTCAACCTACCTACTTCTTTCTAAGGTGAAAATAAGGTACCTAAAAGCTTCCGGAATGCTCACAGATATAGGTCTCCCCTGCTTTTCGGAAGCACTTTCCACCACTTCGCTTTTACGTAAGACCTACATTACTACCTGTTTCTCTCACCGGAAGAAACCCAAAGAGGCTATTCGCTTTTATGAAAACGGGTGAAACGCATTCAGTGTTTGTTTTTGCAGTAAATCGTTACAGGGGCAGTGCAAGCCCCCAGCAGCAAGAGTGGCGCCACCAAGCTCCTTCCCGGGAACCACACGGCATCTCAGCATCAAGTCGCAGTAGCTTTGAACTGTGTCTGTGAGCATCTGTGCTTGATCTCGGTATATTTTGTGCATCCATGAACAAGATGTGTACTAAGGTGATTGCTTCTGTGCTTTATGCCATTTCAATTAAGGTTTCATAGAACGCTCTGCTTTTGGATAGAGGGGGGAACCTGTAAATGGGTTTTAAGCACAAGAATATGACTAGAATTCAGAAATTGCTACAGGGAGCTATTGCTCTACCAATGTAAAACAGAGGCAGGCTCTAATTTCAAATATGCTTAGTACGGTTAAAGAAATACAGTTTATATTTTTATTAAAAAATCCAGCAGCTAGGGAGTACCATTTCTAAATCTTCCTCTAAGAAGAGCATTTGCCATTAATCCAAATTCGGTATTAATCCAGTTATAAACTGAATCTTGAGACACAACCTTAATAAATAATATTAATAATTTCTTTAGTGAAAGTTGTATTTGTGCACACGACCATTGAATCAAGGGCTATGATTCAAGCACTTTTATTTATTTCATTGGCCTCAGTTTATGAGCATGATCTGGGGCCAAGAGAAATCTTTTTTCTGAGTTTCTCCTGCCCAGTAAATAAAATAGAGAATGAATTGCTGGTTGACATGCAAAGTTGGTGGTTAAATCATTTGTAAAGCATGTTACTAGTCCAAAATACAAGACTATCAAGTTGTGATGGTAATAAACGAAATGCCCTTGGTCCAAATGTCTGTGCACTTGACAGTGGAGCAGTGGTAAAAAACAGCCCTTCTCCAGTGCCTCTTGCTGTTATATGGACAATTCATTTGCCTGAGCTCAGCACAGTTTTTAAAAATCGTCCTCTTGATTGATTTCATACTGAAAATAACTATGATCCATGACATCAAATAATGCTCTTCCTTTATCTGAGATTTCTATTTTTCTAAGCCAAACATTTTTCAGACTGCAGAATGTTCTTCCCAGAACCATTTTGAAATTTCTGACTGTCTTACTTGTTTACACATATTTTAGAACTATTTAAATTTCCACTCACAATTTGCTCATCACACACACACACACACACACACACACACAAATACTTCAATATCATTGCCAGCGTCTTGGGTCAAATTTATCTAAAGTGAGTACAGACTATTCTCAATTATCCTCAGTAATTAGAGGCAGTCATGATACTAGTAATTGGAGTCACAGAATGTTACCCACGCCTAATTTTGGCCAGCAGTTTCAGTCTTTTATTCCATCAAATCCTTTAGGGCTGTTAACAGGTGATTACATGGACACATTACCTTTTTTGTTTCATCACCATTATTTTCTGCTCTAATGTCTACGGGGAGGGGATGTGTAATGAAAGGAACCACCAAAATAACAATAATAATAAAAGGCAGCTAATGGAAAAGAGAAACAAAAGCATGGCTAATACACACACGCAGTATTACCTCCAATGATTAGAGAATTTCCTGTAAATTATTATAGATAATAAATTGCATGTCAAACTCTGTTTGGTCCACACAACAACCTGTTTGTTATGACTGCTTTGGCTCCTGTAAAGAATCCAGCTCTCTGTTTTGATAAAGGTAATCTTAAAAGCTGAGGCAATGCTCTCTCTCTGTTTACCATCAAATTAGGAATGATTGGATTGAAAAACATGTTGTCTGTTTGAAAACCGACATTATTTCCTTACTTTCATTTGCCAACAATACCAAATTAACGAGAGGAGGTGTTAAATATCTGGAATGGTGCTATGCAGCCAATGTGTTCTGATGCTCGCACTGCGAGTTGTGCATCATAAATGTAAACGTTTTGTCCAACGATCTGGCTTTAGTTAAATATCCAAGTTAGACCTGCTCATGTTCAGTCTGTACAGTTGTTTGTTGATTTACCGTATTCCTGGAAGTGGTGATTTCTACCAAATCAGAAGCCCCTATTTTACAAAAACAAAGTAAAACCCACTTGCAATATGTGTGTTGTCAACAGGAAAAAAAAAAAAGAGAATGCTTATAAAGAATTACAGCAAGTACAATAATAGTTCCTGTTTAAAATATTATTTACAGTTCTTTGGAGATATTATAAAGGGTTGATTGTATATTTATATCACATGCATTTTAGGTTTCCCCTCATGTGTCCAAATAATTTCTATTTACATACAACTAAATAAAATTTGTCCTCTTTAAAGATGGTCAGTGAATTTTTGTACAAACTCTTTATTTTCTTAGCCTTAAGAGGAAAACTCCTAAAAAGTAACTGATAATTACCTATTTGGCTCTTGCCCCTGGAAGAATTTCCCTCTGGGTGTGATCATGAAACCACCTGGAGAGAATCACCTATCATGATTGTTAGAAGGGCCAAGTTTAGATGTAAAATTTTAAATGCACACCTCTTTTAATCCAGCAGCTGCATTTCAAATATTTTTTCCTATGTATGAGCAAAGACAAATGAATAAGGATTTTTTAATTTATAGTTTGTTATATAAAAGACTGGAAATAATTGAAATGTCCATCAATGGGAACTGTTAAAGTATGGTATTTATGCAACTGTTAAAAAAAAAAAAAGATCTGTATGTAAAATTAGAAAACGGTTTCCAAGATATATTGCGAAAAGAAAAAAAGCAAGTTAAAATATGCTTAATGTCCTCCCAATTATGTTTTTGCTAACTACAAAAAAGGTTATTCACGTGGCTTGTATATGTATAGGACATTTCTGGACAGAAACACAAGAAAACTAACAGTGTTTGGCTCTGGGGAAGGAAAGTTTGGGCTTGGGGGTGGGCCTGATTTTTTTTCCTTAAGCGCATGATGGTTTTTCAACTTAATACTTGTATCCAAAATTATTTTAAATGCAAATTCCTGGGGCTACTTAAAACCTATTGAACTGGAATCTTGGGGGATGGGGTCAATAGATCTGCCTGGTAGATAAGCTTATCAGTTGATCCCTATGCTTACTAAAACTGGAGACCAACTCTCAGCATACTTTAAGAGAAGAACGTTCCACTGGATTTCAAATGCGCGTCCTGACTCCCTCACATTGATTATTTCCTTTTATATGATATTCTGGTCAATTACTGTCTATGGAGCACTCATGGTATGTAGTATTTTCATTTCACTAAGTCTGCCTCTATAGTCCTTTTCCATTCAACAAGTGTAAACTGGGCTTCTAGTAGAACAAGGCAGGTGGATGCAAAGTGCCTGCCCTTGGGTGGCCTGCAGAGGAAGTGATGCAATAACAAAATTAAGGAAAATTAGACTCATAACCTATTTAAATGAAACTGTAATTAATAATATAAAAGACAGAGAGAGGCTCAATAAAGCGATTGAAGAACTATCCCTAGGTATGTCTTCTTGTCAAATGAAAGATACAGACTACAAGTGCTAAACTTACAATTCGCAAACTCTTAGGTCTCAGGTCCCTGTTATAGTCCTAAAAACCAATGAAGACTCAAAAAGCTTTTGTTTTTATAGGCTATAATTTATTGATATTTACCACATTAGAAAGCAAAGCTGGGAAAATTTTAAGATATTTATGTATTACTTCATTTTAAAATATAATGAGCCTACTATGTTCATATAAGTAACACATTTTTTGGAAAAGTAACTGTATTTCCCCCCAAAAAAAAATTTTTAGTAAGTATAGTGGCATTGTCTTACATTTTTGCAAATTTCTTTAACATCTGGCTTAATAGAAGACAGCTGGGTTCTAAAGTTTGCTGCTGCATTCAATCTGTTGTGATATATGGTTTTGATTAATATATGTGAAGGAAATTCAGCCTCATACCAATAAGTAGTTGGAAAGGGGAGGAGTATTTTAATAGTCTTTTCAGGTAATTGTAGATTTTTTTCAATTCCACACCAAAACTCAGTAAGTTGTATTTCCTAAAGGTTAGTTGCAATGTAGGATCTGACACAGTATCAATGAACTTTTTGTAAAACGTTACGTTAAAAGCCTGTCTTGCACTTTGAACGGCTCTTTTGCCCATGTATGATTTTGTAACATAATGCTTTAGTCATTTGGAAAATACTGATCTATTGAGTTTGGTAGATCTTTCAAATGTTCTCATATTTCAAACAATAATTTTAAAAATGATTTTACAGTTCTATTTATATGAAATATCCAGAATAGGCATATCCATAGATAGTATATTAGTGGTTGCCAAGGGATAGGAGGGAGGGAGATAGGTCGTGACTGCTGCTGGGCACATGGTATCTTTTGGGGGTGACAAAAATGTTCTGGAATTAGATAATGGTGATGGTTACACGAGTGCTTTTCCTCAAGACTCCACTGGACTCTGATTTACAGCTGGTCTGCTTTTTGCACACTTCCCATTTTGAAACTGAATAGGACCCTGAAGGGCCTTCCTGGTGACAGGAACCCCCAACCCCCACACCTTCTGCCTCTTGTTTGTAGAAAAGCTTTCCAAAGAGTACATTTAATCAGAGAAGTAAAAAAAAAAAATGCAGAAACAAAGGAAGGCAGCCAAGCAAGGCAAAAATAATAATAGTTTAGCCATAAAAAAAAAAGTCAAGGACCTTTAATTCTTCCTCGAGGGCTATAATTTCCTTAGCCATATCCTTGAGTTGTTTTGCAGATACTAAAATCCTTACCAGGTGGAGGAAGTTTGCATGCTGTCAGCACGTAGATTGTAGATTGGTTGGAACCAGAAGGTGAATGACTGAGATTCCCAAAACATCATCCTGTCACCTCAACCAGAGAATTGTGCAGAAGCTATTCATACACTCTGTGACCCTCTCACTCACACTGTCTTTAAAAACCCTTCCCTGAAAGCCATCAGAGAATTCTGGTCTTTTGAGCATGAGTTGCCTGTCCTCCTTGCTTGGTGCTGCAACAAACGCTGTACTTTCCTTCACAACTGACATCACTAGACTAGCTTTGCTGCATGTTGGCAGAGCGGACTCTAGTTTAGTTTGGTAACAATTTTGTTGCAAGGGATGTTTAAAAGATGTGGATTCAAGGGTGAAGACTTAGTAAAAGTTGATCATTTTTACTGTTTTATCAAGGATCTTAAGTGTGCCTGGCCAGTATTTGACTGCAAGCACATGGCAATGAAATACATTTTGGTGGCGCTGCTTTGACGGCCACCATTGCTGCTGCACCATCAATGCAAATGAGTCAACACAGTTGCTCCAGGATCAACCAAGAGAATGAAGTTATTCAGTATTTTGAATGTTTCAGCATCCCTTGTGTTTGCTTCCAAGCATTCACATAAAAGATCTTTGTCTAGATGGTGTGATGAACACAGCAGAACGGTGAGTCCAGCCACATCTATTGATCTGTCCATTTGTAAGACAAAAGTACAATTCTGCAGAGAAGATATCGACTCAGCCTGTTTGCAGCTAAATCTTTAATTTGACAAGCTACTGTATCATGAGAAAGTGGCGCTGCTGTGATTCCCTCTGCTGACTCTCCATCCGGCTGGCATTCAGCAATGTCAGCTGTAAGGCTTCCTTCTCCCTCTCCAGGCACAGTCACCTACCCTGCAGGGTACTCCAATGGCTTTTGCCTTTCTGGTTTGAAAAGCTATAATGACCAATTTTGGGCTTTTAATGACCTCATCACATCTCCATTTAAAATATTCAAATCGTTTTTCTTTAAATTTTGAATGATTTCTCTTAAAATGGTGCCACAACTTACATGGTACCAAAAAGGTAAAATTGTAACATTATAAAGCCAAGGAATAGATAGCTTTTGAGTCCTATTTTGTTTCATATTTATACTTTTTTTTTAGTAGATTTCAGTTTCGTCTTTTTCAGATTAGATGGTGCAGCTGTGAGCTAAGAAAGTGAGATTTCTCATCTCCCTTTTTGAAAGCTAATGATGCATCCTTAAATATAACAATGAATGGAGTGTGGCTTATGTGGACTGGGGGTTGACAAAGCCGAGATGTTGGGAGAACAGGGGTGGGGGAGAGAATGCTGATGGTGAATTGCAAAGACTGAGGAGCAGCTGCATCATCATCTCCAAAGGGGAAACTGAGTCAGGGCAGAGCGCAGATCCCTGGCAGTGTTGAAAGATGCTACAGATGGACTGTGTGGACCTCTAACAGTGAAAAGCAAAAAGGGTCAGGCTGAGGGTCTCAAATTGGCACTGGGGAGCCTCTTCCATTGTCAGGTGAAGTGAAAAGAGTTTAAGTTCATTGGGAGGGACTGGGCCCCAGTGGAGGAAAGTGTCAGGAAGAGAGAGGACTGAGTCTGGGAAAGGACCAGTGAGCCATGTTTCATTTCTTTACTCAATGCTTTACCTGGGTTTCCCTAAGAGTGTGTGAGGGCCTTGAAGAACATACTCCTTAGTATTTAAGTAAATCTATGATACTTGTTTATAGAAAAACGGGCTGATAATTTAATTCATCAAAAGCGTGGTATATTCTCTGCACAACTAAATTAGTATGGTCTTATGCTCAAGGCTCCCCCCTTAGAGTTCAAATGTTACCACGGGCAAGTGCCATCACATTTTCAAGTTCCACTGGCCAAACATGGTTTCGCTCTGAAAGGAGGTGGTGTGGCATCTGTGGTTCAGAACATAGACTCAGGGGGGAGGGTTAGATCAAGTGGCAGAGCGCATGCCTAGCAGGCATGAGGTCCTGGGTTCAATCCCCAGTATCTCCTCTAAAAATAAATAAATAACCCTTATTACCTTCCCCCAAGAACAACAAAAATAGCAGAACACAGACTCAGCAGGCATAGTTTTGGATCTCAGCTTTACCACTTATTAGTTACAAAACCCCGGGGAAATGAACTTGCCCTCTCTGAGGATGATTTAGGCTTTGCAGAACATGCAGTCTATCTGTCGACTCTATCACTGGCTGTCATAAAGCATGGCCTAATCAAACTTTATAGACCTATGCCGTAGTTTACAGACCCCGATCTCTAAGACAGAAATAATATCATTTACCTTCGAGGGCTGCTATAAGAATTAAATCGGTTACCGCCTGTTTATTTCTTGGGGCTCAGCAGACACGCGATCAGTGCAAGCTGCTGTTACTGTTACTGGTCCTGAGGTTATTCCAGCTCAGACTGTGACTGTGATCCGTGGCTCTCAGGCTTCCAGGACAGGCAGAACAGGCTCCCCAGCTGAAAACAGCTTTTCTGAATGGAGGTCTATGCTCGAGGGAATGTGACTAACGGGGAGTCAGGCCTCTGTAGCTCCCGCCCCTAAGGGTTCCACGTTGCAAAGGCCACAGAATGTTACCCCAGTGTGCAGATGATCTCATTTCAAAACAATAAGTAGGTAAAGCTAAGACATTGATTTTACTTTGTACAATGAACCTATTACCTAATCGTATGTTTTTTAACTGCAGGCACACAATTTTCTTTGGTGGTACCTTGTCTACTTAACATTTTGACATCCAACCCAAGATATCCATTTCAAGTTGAAGCCAACTGTTTAGAGTTGAAAAGCTTGGATCCTCTCTCACACCGTCTCATACATCAACACAAACTAAAGATAGAGGTCATTACACTAAAGCTCAGAGCAGAAAACTATGCGGCACTGATGGTTTATGCAAGATCGTTTGATATTAGTCTTCAGCATCTTGGGAGTTGGTTTGGGTAATAAACAAGGACCAATGACCATCTTGTACACAAGCAGCTTGGAAAACAGTAACAAGTTGTGACCAGGGATTTGTCCCTATCCCTGCTTCCCACCCCTCCCCCAAATATAATCTCAGCCTAAATTCCTGGCCCTACTTGGTGAAATAAAACATTGCAGATTCCATATAACAGAGGTTTAATGCACATACTCTGCCAACCTGTTCAAGAAAAAAAGCAGTAATAGAAGTTGACATTAAGTAAAATATTTTTAGCTTATAAATTAAACATTCACATTTGCTACTGTTATTAATTTTTTCTTATAACACTAAACATATAAATTATCAGAAAATGTCAGTATTTTACTTTTACAGTTACAACAGTGAATAAAAACGGAGTAGAAACACTTTTGACTAAAAAGATGAGAAAAGGCAAAACTATAAAATGTTGTGACATTTCTCTCGGAAACGGTGTGTCATCGACAGAGCAGATTTACCCATCCCCAGGAAAGCTGTCAGCAGAGGCAGAGAGGCAAACCATCGTTGCCTTCCACCCAGTGGATCCTCGTGCGGGTGCTAACGTGGGATCTGAGTGGGAGAGGGGCACATGTTCCACCCCTGAGGAGGCTGGTGCCTGGCAGGATTTTAGGTTTCTGATATTGTTCCTATTTTGGCAAAAATAATTATAATCAGGTAATGAGGCACTCAAACTATAAGGGCAAATAATTACTGAGATAATCTAATAACCTATGTTGTTTAATTACTACCTAATAATAGCCAACATAGTAATTAAGCTCATTTTTAATAATTTAGCTAATATCTATTTTTATAGTATAATCTTTTTATAGAGACAGTAAGAGTTTTCAAATGGCCATATTTGTGTTCTTACTGATTCATGTTGATTCTAGATTATTAGGCACACCCGTAAGCTTCCAGAACGCCGTTGATAAAACATTATACATGAAATTTTTAAGCTGTTGACATTTTGCATCCATGTTATAAATGGGTTGTAATTCGATACTTTTGCAGTTACGTTGCCATACCACGTTGCGGGTACACACAATTGCTGTATACACATGGTATTAACCTATATTCTGTTGCTGAAAACCTGGCTGGGAGTGAAGTCTGGAGCTTCAGGGAGAAACAAGGCAGCAGAAGCCACACAGGAGCATGGGCCCTCTGCCTGCCTGCCAGCCAGCCACCCTGCCCTGCCCTGCCCTGGCCCTGGCTGACTGGCTCCTAGACAGAGAAGGAGGCCTGGGTCTCTCGCCAATTAAATCTTTGCTCTGTGCTTGGACTAAATCCAGATAGAACTTAACGGGCTCCTCATCGGCCAGGAAGCAGATTGCGTTTGATTTCACAGATGTCCCTGGAAATCCAAGACTGAGTGTTAAAGAGTGTGTGGATGGCGGTTAAAATCTGGTTTGATACTAACACAGGTTTAGTAAAAAAAGAAAAAAGAGTCTGTCACTGAGCCATGGCTATAGAGCTGTTCCAGCAGGAGTGAGGAGGGAGAGCAGCCAGGGCCCACCTCTTCCCCACTGTTCGGGGGTCCTCGGGTCCAAGGGGCGTGGTGGAGCAGGGGGAGGGGCAGTGCAGGGGGAGGGGGAGGGAAGGAGTGGGATGGGGGCGGCAGGATGCTATTTTTCCGGGCGGCAAACTGGAAATTGCAGGGAAGAAGCGCTGATAGGGTCGGTCAGGTGATGGGAGGTTGAGCGCTGCTTTGCTCTGTAGCCTAAAGGAGTCGTTAGACTATTCGCTGCCATGAGTTCATTGTCTGGAGGTACTTAATTGCCATGAAGGTGCAGGAAGAAGACAATTTTTAAATAACTCATCTCAGGGAGGTAGAATTTCCTCCCCTAAAACTACTGCTTTTGCCCCTCTGCCAACTTAACAGAACACAAACCATACTTGGGTTTTCACAGTTACCCACAGCCTGTATGCTTAAAAACTGCTGTTATACTTGTATGTGGAACCTCAAAAAAACCACCAACTAGTGAATATAACCAAAAAAGCAGCAGACTCACAGATACAGAGAACAAACTAGTGGATCCCAGTGGGGAGAAGGGAGGGGGAGGGCCAGCATGGGAGGGAGTGGGCGGCACAAACTGTCGGGTGCAAGACAGGCTCAAGGATGTATTGGACCACATGGGGAATATAGCCCATATTTTGTAATAACTGTAAGTGGAAAGTTACAATTTGAAACCTGTATAAAATTTTTTAATTAAATTAAAAAAATATAAATCACCCCTCCACCAAAAAAAATCCCTCTTATAAAAGTGGTAACTGTCCACATTCCTCAGAGGAAGCGGCACCCCTCTAAGAAGGGTTCATAGGGTTATTTGACAACGGGAAGTCCTGGGAAGTCGGACTCTGCAAAGGCCTTCAAGGAGAACGTCTTGACCTCTCTCCAGCAGTGCTGCAGGCCCAGGTCAGAGGTGGTCCACACTAAGGGGATGGAGCCTGGCATCCCAGGCTCACAAGATGGGGACCCTGAATACTAACCTCGGACAGCAGACTTGGGAAGGCAGCTGCGTTCAGCGGGAGTGCCTCCCACAGTTCCCTGCGGGGACACACAGTGTGTACTCGGGGACAGACTCTGATGATACAACACTAGGAAAAACTTCACAAGCCCGGTTCCCCTTTCCCACACCTAGATAAAAACATTTGTAATAAAACCTGCTAAGCATCATTTATTGTTTGTTTCTACACAGCAGAAGCCTCTATTCTTATGGGCATCAGGGCAGGGGGCTTCCTGTCCTGCAGCCCTTGTGCTGGGACCACGACCTGAGCAGGGTCTGTGGCTCCGGCAAGGCACTGCAGAGGTGGGCTAGCTGCGTTTGTGTGCAACTACTCTATGGCTCCTTGAATCAGCAAAACCTCAGTTCTCAATCAAAGGAAGCAGAAGAGTTTGGACGCAGAAGGGAAGCGCAGCCGCGCCTGGGGTGCCCGGCGGGGAGGAGCGCGTGTCCCTACGGCTGACTGCTCCTCTGGCTTTCGTGTCTTTGTTTCCTCCTGCGGAGGTGCCGCTGGAGCTGCAGCTTGTTGGTGAAGAACATCTGTCTCCAGCCCAGATCCTTGGCCAAGGCGCGCATATCGGGGGTGATGTGGTCACAGGTCGACTGGACTATCTGCTCCCACAGATTGTCAGACCTGCACAGCTGCGGGGGGGAAAGTCAGAGGTGGGTTACATCGCACATGGGTTCAGGAGAAGTCGTTTGCCCGCTCACAGAATCACCACCCAACTCCTGCTGCCTGTGAGACACTGGAGGAAACACCACGGGTGCATGAAGATATGCCAGACACGGTTCCGAGCCCAGACACTTCCTCTTTGAGGAGAGGGGCACGTGCACAAATGTCTGAAGGACAAAGCAATATTCAATTAATGGACTAAACCAAGTCTCCATCTCGTTTAAGATGCGGAAAGCGAGATAGTTATAAATAGTCCATATACAACTTTACATAGTTTATATATACATTATATGGTTGATTTCCAATTAGCCACCAAACAGAGGCTGATGGGGTTGGCCCAGAGCTGCGGCAGCTTCTCCAGCGGGAGCCTTGCTAACTCCTGCTCAGCCCTGAAGTCATCTCCTCCCGGCTTGCACCGCTGACAGCTTCATTCTCTGCAGGCCACTCATCAAAGTGAACCATCAGCCCTTGGAGACTGCCAACCAGCACATCTAAAATCTACCCACGCCTGGTGCCGGGGTCCGGTCCACAAGTTCTACTCGGAGTCCTCTGTGAGCCTGGCATCACATCGTGCCTCAGAGTGGCCTGCAAGATTCCGTCCACTCCCCGAGCCTGCCGGGCACACGGCAGACTGAGGATGACCTTCCCTGGGATGTTCTCCTGCAGTCCGGGGCTGTCACTGGGGGCCATGAGGTTGAGGACGGACAAGACCCCTCTGGCCCAACATCTGCCCAGGACCTCTTTG